GACGAGCAATCTTCTCTTTCAGCTCAGCAAATTTGCAAGTAATATGAGCTGTGTGACCCTCCAGCACAGGTGCATAGCCAGCACTGATCTGGCCTGGGTGGCTCAGGATAATCACCTGAGCTGTGAAGCCAGCTGCTTCCCCTGGTGGGTCATTTTTGCGGTCACCAGCCACATGGCTACAGCAAACATCTTTGACAGGCACGTTCTTGACGTTGAAGCCCACATGGTCCCCAGGAAGAGCTTCATGGTGCATTTCAACAGGCTTCCCTTCAGTTGTAACACTGACCGGAGCAAAGGTGACCACCATGCCGGGCGTGAGAACACCAGTCTCCACTCGGCCCACAGGGACAGGACCCATACCACCAATTTTGTAGACATCCTGGAGGGGCAGGCGCAGGGGCTTGTCAGTTGGACCAGTTGGTGGCAGGATGCCATCCAGAGCTCCAAGCAGCGTGGTTCCACTGGCATTGCCATCTTTACGGGTGACCTTCCATCCCTTGAACCGAGGCATGTTAGCACTTGGCTCCAGCCTGTGGTCACCATTCCAACCAGAAATGGGCACAAATGCCACTGTGTTAGGTTTGTAGCCAATTTTCTTAATGTAGGTGCTGACTTCTTTAACAATTTCCTTGTATCTTTTCTGGCTGGAGGGCGGCTCAGTGCAATCCATTTTGTTAACACCAACCATCAGCTGTTTCACACCCAGTGTGTAGGCCGGAAGGGCATGCTCACGGGTCTGTCCATTCTTGGAGATGCCGGCTTCAAATCCACCACCACCGGCAGCAACATTCAGGACAGCACAGTCAGCCTGAGATGTGCCTGTCACCATATCTTTGATGAAGTCTCTGTGTCCGGGGGCATCAATGATGGTCACGTAATACTTGCTGGTCTCGAATTTCCACAGGGAGATATCAATGGTGAAACCGTGCTCCCATTCGGCTTTCAGTTTATCCAAGACCCAGGCGTACTTGAAGGAGCCCTTCCCCACCTCAGTAGCCTCCTTCTCAAATTTCTCGATGGTTCTTTTGTCGATGCCCCCACATTTGTAGATCAGATGGCCAGTAGTGGTGGACTTGTCGGAATCTACGTGTCCAATGACGATGATGTTAATGTGAGTCTTTTCCTTTCCCATCTTGGGTTTGAGTTAGTGGCGGTTTTCACGACACCTGTGTTCTGGCTGCAAACCCGTTGCGAAAAAGCCCTATAATTTTTAAATAACTCTTTGCTCCTATGAAAATTATTGCCTTATGTTAGCAGGCACAGGTGTTGATTAGCATATTCAATCAAAGAAAGAAAATGTGATCATGAAATACAAATAATCAGTAAGCAAGTAAAAAAAAATCTATGTTAGCAATACAACAATAAAATAATACCCCCCACCCCATCAAACTAGCCATAATTTGAAAAGCCCCAGTGATATTGAGTTCAGAGAAATGGACCCTCTCATATACTACTGTGTAAGCAGCAGGAGAAAGAGTTTTTTCTTTTTCTTTTTTTTAACTGCTGAATTCAAAGTGTTCAGAATAGGGCCTGGCATAAAACTTGATTCTCACTTGTCAAATGGATGAATGTAAATGTTGCTGTTGTGTGTATAAATTGGCAGCTTTTAAGAAATTCCACTTATGTAAAATATTTAAGAATGTCTATTAAAATATATTTTAAAAGGAAAACAAATCTGAAATAACATCAATGTTTATTTGATTGATTATGTTAAGGTATAATTATATATTTGAACTCCTTTCATCTTTTAACAGTGATATTGTAATCTGAATCTACTGTGATGGGGAAGATGTCACAGTAGTTTTTCTAAAAAGCTGATTACAATCAGGAGAGAAATAATGACTGCATTTTTGTAAAAGTAAACTATGTGGATGCATAGAAAAGGTCCTAGAAACTTATTTGTGGATATTTGAAGTGGTGATATCATAGCAGTTTATTTGGTTTTAAAAAGGTATTATTTGAATTTTTTACAGATGTAATTTTTCACACCTTTCTATTTAATTTTCTTATAATTATATAAGGACAATATTTTTTTAAGCAAACCCCATAAAGACACCCCCTAAACCCACCTCTAGTTTCCTGTACTGTGCCATATAAATGTAATCATCTTTTATACATGGACCATGAGAAGAAGTCGGAAAGGACTGTCTTACCAACAATTATTCACATCCCCTTTCCGTTCTGCAGAACTCACTTTTCACCTTAGGACGACGAAAATATCAGACAGGTTTTCCCCTAGTTTTTGCCAAGGGAGAAATCACGTGGTCCAGTGGTGGCCACTGAGGCACGAAGAGATTTCTGGGGACTTGAAGGAAAGGTTTGCCTTCCTAAGAAAAACTGATCAACCCAAGTCCATGTCCATCTTCTTCCGTGAATGTGAGACCCAGTTCCTAGTGACACCAGAACTGCGGCAGTTATGTGTGACCATGACACCAAATGCTGCTGATATGCTGAGCATGGGATGGAGAGACAGAAAGCACAGGGGCTCTGAAAAATCGTTGAGTGACTAAACTAACCTGGAACATCTCTACCTCTGTATGCCTGGTCATGCCAGAAAGCTCATGTCCTTATTACTTCAGCCCATCCTACTGAGACTTCTGTCACTTGCAACCAGGGTACTAACTAATAAAGTTGGGGTGGTTTTACAGGATGGTCCCTAAATTATCTGGCACTTCTGCCATTGGAAGGTGGGTTCCGCATCCCCTCCCCCTTGAACCTGAGGTGGCTGTGACTGCTGCAGTGAGTGGAGGCTGGCAGAAGCGATGCTGTGTGACTTGTGAGCCTAAAGGCAATATGGCTTCTCTCTCGCTCGAAGGAGCACTCACACTTGGACCTTGGGGATGCTATGGAAGATGTCTGACTGCCCGAGGACTGCCGTGATATTAAGAAGATGACAGCTTGCCCTAACTGGTTTGGCTCAGTGGATAGAGCGTCGGCCTGCAGACTGAAGGGTCCCAGGTTTGATTCCAGTCAAGGGCATG